TCTAACCCAAACCAGTCTGTGATTTCATCCAGCAGTCATATAGGGGGTTGTGAAGCTTTGGCTTTAAATCAATCTTGGTACTGAATAACCAAGAGTGACGGAGTGATAGACTTGTAGATGCCACTCTACGAGTAATGATTGTGTCCCAACTATCCTACAAAGAAAATTCAACCTTAAAAGCAAAAGGAGAGACTAGAACAATTCTAAATTTTAGGGACTTGTAGGATAGGGTAAGAATAAGATGTTGTTTTCTGCTAAGTATCCCAGTCCTGTTGAGATACAATTAGTCAGTGCCACAAATAAACCTGATGTGTAAAGTGTAAGCCTTCAGGAAAGTATGTATGGCTGTTCAAAAGATCTTTTGTGCGTAGACATGTTAGAGTTCGAGACTGAAGTCGTCTGAAAAATGACGTAAGGAGCATACTGAATAAGTGTGTCCATATGTAGAAAGGATTTAAGTTCACTCACTGCAGTATTCTCAACTGCAGCGATGTATAATTGTGTTAAATATAATAACTTCTGGCAAGGTCTTACACTGAACGTGTTATACTCGTGTCATAAAGAACTGTGGATCTGGGGGAGTAAGAGCAGTGTAATGGACAATGTCTTAGGTACTTGACAAGCCCTGACAGCTTCAAAACTGAACTTGCCCGAAGGATATGTTCACAATTCACAGGCTGGGTAATGACTTCCTTTCATCTGACTGAATATGATGTCAAAAATAGAAGTATGTAACATCTTTTATTAGCCTGATTTTTTTTTTTCTTTTCCAGCCCCACAAAGCTTTGCACTGATTGTTAGTATACAGCTGCCAAACTAAAGATGGTGTCAGTTAATGTTTAGCCAGAGTGGTGCTTGGCAGTTTGCTGTTGTCTGTTAACTGTAAAACTGGTTCCATACCTAGCAGTGTGCTGTCTTTAACAAGCATAAATTTTCTTTGCCTATTGTAGTATGAGGGGGAAAAAAAATTGCTGAGATAATACCTGAACTTCTGAAATCTCAAACAGTAGCTCAGGTACCCAAATAGGAAAAGACAGCATTGAAAAATCACGTCAGGTTAAATACGTCTGTGCATGTAGCATCTTTGCAGCATGGCTGTGGATGTAACATGCCGTTTTTGTAAGGCATCTGGATGCTTCTGACATACCAGCCGAAAGCAGTACGTATAACTTCAGAATGCTCTAGTTTGCAACTCAAGTGCTTGGATATTCCATCCAAATAAATGGTATAACGCTAGAGATGCGGGGGCAAAAGAAGTGGGTGTGGTACCTGTTCTCTGACTAGCTGTACAGGCTGGATACCTGATAAAAATCACTCGCCTGTCCGTATAACTTGGTGTGTGTCTAGGTATAGTAGTTAAATGCAAATGGTGTGTGAGCTGTTTCTGCTTTGGCATTTATACTTGATATGCTTCAGTACAAAAACGTACTAGGTTTGGGAATCTGTGCTTCTGCGTGGCCTGCTCACTGTTTTGCTCTACTGGAGTTTTAAGTATTGAATAGCTGTGAGGTGTAGATGATGAGACACTCCTATCCATCAGTATCCAATTTAGTAATGTGTTTTGCTTTCTTACGTACCCAGCCAGGAAAACAGCAAACTTCCCCTCTTAAATCATTAAAAGAAAGCCCCTTCTCTTTGCTCCATTTTGAACCTGTTAGGATAAATATCTTTTTCAGGATAAGATGAGTAGGCATTTTGGGTTCTGTAGCACGCTTCCTTTCATGTATTTCGGACTTGCTCCGTGCTTTCCAAAACGCATTCAAGATCATTGGCCTCTTTCTGTGTTTGCAAGCCTAAAGACTCTTCAGACTGTCTCTGCTGTGAAATGAGAGTAGCTGACACTATCTTGTCCTCCTTTTGTTGTTGTTCCTTAAACTTTATGCTCATAGATCTTGAGCTACTCATTAAGAAGTGGGTAGCTTAGCCAGTACATGTTGCTTCTGTTCCAGCCCCTTGCTGTTAAGAACAAAGTCCTAGGTGTAACTTGAAGAAACCTCACTCCTTCCTATTGGCTTAAGTTTTCTGGTATGGTTATAGGCTGCTTTCCTTAGTATGTGCTTCTTATAAACTTTGCTCTTTCTGATTTTCAGGCACGTATCTTATTGTAATAACAAAAAAGAAAAAAGTAGGTGAGATTTTCAGTCATGCAATCTGGAAAGCAACGGACTTTGACATCCTCTCCTACAAAAAGACCATGCTGCACTTAACTGATATTCAGGTAGGTGGATTGGTTAGGGGAGTGGAGGGGAATGTTACCTTATATTGATGTCCATCACCACAGGACCTAGGTTGATGAAGCTCTTTGCACTATACCTTTTTCTCTGATTTATTCTACTATAATTGGTGTAATATTTGGGTATAAATGTATATGAAGTTATCCCATTCAAGATGATAAAGTCACATTATGCAACTTAGAATATCGTCCCCGGAGTTTGATCTGCATATTGTGCATTTTTCCCCTTTTCTAACATGGCACACTCCTCTTAATGCTGTTCCTCTTAAGTCTTTCTCACAGCTTTGCTGTTCTGATAGCCCCTACAATAAGCTGCCTTGCTGTCATCTAATTCTCTGTCTTACTTAATTTATGGAATTATTCAACTGCATGATTACCCAGCAGGGAAGAATTGGGTGTTTTTTTTTAAGAGGGAGGAAAAGGATGAAGATTTCTTAAAACAGATGTGTTGTGGATTGCGAAAGAGTAGGTAAGGGTGTCTAACCAATGGAGGTGGAAGGGAATCCGATCCTCTTTCAGGAAAGGAATGAGTTTAATCAAAACTTGAACCAGAACACAGGTTAGTTATTAGGATATAACTTACTGTCAAGATTATCCCTTCTTTTGCATTACCATCTTATCTCATGGGTTGAGTTTTTTTGACTGAATGTTTTTCAGGGGAATCAATGGTTTCCTTTTTGCTTGGAAAGTTGCTAATATCAGTTTAATTTCAGTACTGCTTACCTCACAGGAATACTGTTCTTTGTCCTCTACTGTTCTTGCAGAATTTGGTTGCAGACTGTTAAGTGTAAGGTAACAGTGAGCTGGTATCAAAATTGCAATCTCATGGTTTCCTTCTTGTATGGTAACCTCTGATGTCACGTGTCACTGTCGTGCCAGCAAAGTTCATCTCATCCCTTCAAAAAGTAGTGGTAGCTTGTAAGCACAAAATATTTCAATGCTAATAAATAAGAGCTCTTCCGTCTTTCCTCATCACAACAGTTGCAGGACAATAAAGTGTTTTTATCAATGCTTAATCATGTCTTGAGCGTGGATGGATTTTACTTCTCAACAACATATGACCTAACCCACACCCTGCAGCGGCTGGCCAACACAAGCCCAGAGTTCCAGGAAATGAGCCTCTTGGAGAGGGTAAGGATCTAATTTTGCTTAATATTGTGTCTCAGATGCTGTCTATCACTTCTGCATGGCTTTAGTTTATGCAGCTGATGTTTAAATGATGCCAAAACAAACCATCACAAACTAAAGGAAACTTTAAAGTTTAGGATGATGATGCTGAAATCCATGGTCCTATCATGCTTGAGCTTAAACCATTTTTTTACAATGAATTAGTAAGCTCAATGGTAGCAGATACTCTTCACTGTAGTAGGAGTTCTCTGCACGGTTCTCTGGAGTAAGAAGCTGACAGCAAGAGGAAAAAGGAGCAACCAAGCAAGTATGCAAAGTACGCTGACTCAAGTTCAGTTTGAGTTTGCTTTGTAGGGGGCTTGAAATAAGGTGGAAATTGCTGGTCTGTGAGGCTTCAGTGCACAAGTAGGTTCAGCACTGGAGCGTTTCATCAAAACTGTTAGGGGTTGTGGCTGAGCACACCAGTCCTCCCCTCCTTAAGTCTCATAGCTTCTGAGCGACAGGAAGTGCTAGAAGTCTGTTCCCGTGTGATGTCAGACTTCCACATCAGGCACTTAGAAGTATTTTCTGCAGTCTGCTTTAAACGGAATAGAAAAAATCAAAATAAATAAAAGTTTGCCTCCGATTTTAATATTGAACACTTCTAATGGCAACAAGAAGGAACTAAGCAGAAAAATTGAGAGAAAGCAAGTCACTCCCCTGATGTCAAATCAGCAGGCGGGGGGAAACCTGACGTGGAATACATGGAACTTGACCATATTCTCTTCTGGGATGATGTGGAACAGAACTGTGGGGTTCATGGCTGCTGGCCATGGGATGTTGTATTCTGTCTAAACTACACTTACTGCTTAATGTTTGAAGCATGAATTTAATAGGCTGCTTTTGTCTTAAAGACAACAGAATCACACAGCCAAATGCAGTTCAACCTGGAAATTTTCTTGTTCTTTTGCTAGTTCAAAATACTGCAAGTAGGATTAGAACAGTTTCTGGCAGATAGTTTTATTTAGTCTTTTTATTAGATAAAGGACTGTTCTAACACTGAGCTTGAATTAACCTTCATCCTCAGTGCTGTGTTGTCTGCCTGCCTCATCTTCAGGTTGAGGTTTATGCCACTCCCCCAGAGCCTGCGCTACGTTCTGCAGCAAGCGTTGCTTGTGACTAACCTGGTAGCGTTCTGGAACGTGCTCTGAAATACGTGGAGTTTAAAAGGGTCATTTATGCAGTGCAATATAAATACTTTCATCTTTTAAACTACAAGTGGTGTTGAGCTTTCAGTTCTGACAGTTGTTGATTATTGCATACAGGACTCCTTGCATTTTTACCTTCTGCCCACTGTAGGAGTGTTACCTTGCTACTGTTAAAATTTTGGGTCACTTCTTCAAGCACTGTTTGCTTAGGGCAAAGACTGGAATGTTCTGATAGTGCAGCTCAGTTGTTAATGCTTTGGCATGCCTGAAGTGTCAGGCAACAGCCTTAAAGGTTGAAAAGAACTGTTCTTTTAACTATGTTTATTTTAATTAGATTTCTGGGTGAGGAGAGGAAGGGTACCGGTGAAAGAAGGGTGTTCCATCTCATGTACATCTGTTCACCTAAACTCTTGTAATGCATGGGTACTAAGATACTGCCTTTATGTTGAAGTCAACAGAAGTGACAATCTCTAAAAGCATGTTGGCTTTTTTCTTGCTGCAGGCAGATCCACGGTTTGTATGGAACGGACATCTTCTTAGAGAATTTGCTGCTCAGCCAGAGGTGAGCACTTTGTAATGATTGTATTGATAGAGGACAAATATACTTTTATTATAAGCATACAACAGTTTCCTGAAATCCTCTGTTACTTCAGACAGCCAGAATCTAGCATAGTGTGGCAGTTCCCCTTCCAGTTCAGCTCATCACTTCTTTTTCTAATAGTAGCTAGCACCTTTCTCCATGAATGCATTTTAAACTCCATTTGCCTAGTGAAAATGTCACAAAGCTGATAATTAAGACTGACACTTTTGAGATTCTTCCAGTTTATTTCAAATAAAGGCTAGCACAGTGTAACCTTTGAATTGACTTAATCCAGCAAATGCAGTGCGTGACCACGAGCCTCAACCGTGGTACCTCAGTGGCTGAGCTGAGCTCCTTCCTACGACAGGCTTCAGATGGGTGTTGAACTTCTCAAATTGTCTGCACAACAGCAACCTTTCCTCTATTGGTCCTTTCCCATTTGTCCAAGTGAATGATGCGCTGCTGCTATTTCTGTCTCAGTAACCTGTGGCGATGTGCTCTTATATTAGCACTGTTCCAAAAGGCTGGGTTGTGCAGTGCTTCTGGAATGTGAAGGTATGAATTGGCAAAGGGCTGTTGTGCATATTCTGGAGGCATATGACTGGGTATATGGCTTGGATAGTGCTGTGCAAACAAAGCTTGGGAAATGAGAGAGGAGCTGTGGTGGGAACAGCAGAGTTTGCCAAGTGTGGCTGGCTAGTGAAAACAGATGTAGGAGGCAAAACACGAGTTGAAAAGGGAGGTAACTGGTATGTGAGGGAAGTGTGACCTAATGAGATGTGGTATTTCTGACTTGTAGTGCTAGCAAATTTTAAATTTTAGATTTTCTTGAAAGACCAAGTTATTCAGGAGTGTCAGGATGGCAAAAACCATGGTACGAGCATTTCAAGTGTTAATCACGTAGAAGTACTCCTTACTGAAGTCCTGTGTTAACTACTATCTCTGCTGTGCCTCCACAGCAGGATGTAAGCAAATATGTCGAAGTTTTTCAGTGTGTACTACCCGTGTGTTGGTGGAACAGTAGATGCCATGTATGGGAGGACAGAGCAGCTTGGGTTTTTTGTGAGGGTCACTTAACTAGGATTGCATTGTCACTTTTGCCCCGCTGCTAGAACAGATTACATACGTTGCTGTTTTCCTTGAGCTTTTTTCCTCAGAATTACTGCACCCTAAGCAATGAGTAAAGGATATAAAGTATATAGAACTGTCAAAATGAAAACCCCAAAAACCCTCCTAGACAAAGCGTGGTCACTCACCAGTTTTGGCTGTTGGTGTGTAATATTTTAATGTGTTGCGTGTGTTTCAGATCCATAGGTTTGCTATGCCGGTGATGCACGGATGTATCCTTTTATGGTGTGAAGCTCAGTGCTGAATATGGTAATCTAACAGCAAAACAGCTGTTGCTGAGGCTGCTCTATTGGCTTTGTTGGCAACTGTAGGTCTATAACGTAGAACACGATGTCAGAATTGTTAGTTTGTTCAGATATGAGCATTACAGGTTGCTTGATATCCCACTCAATGTTAACTCGCTTGAATGTTCTGCTTTTAAGGCTGAATGTATTGAATTTTACAGGCATGATTTGCATAACTGTCTTCCAATGGGACTGAAGGTGAAGAGGAATATGGCAAATGATCTTGCGTCAGCCTTAGTACTTTCTATCTTGCTATAAGGATACCTTCAGATAGCATTTACTTTGGACTTAAAATAAGGGAGAAGAGTGGTGACTTGAGGGAGAGCTTATGGATGTTGATGAATAAAAGGATACGGAGTTCTGCTGCAGGCTCCTGTAATGTTTTTCCTAGCCAGCTGCTTTTCCTGCACTGATGCTTTGGGTGACAGCCGTTTTAGCAAAGCAGTTGTGAGTTTATTTTTGAAAAGGGGTGTGTGCTGTGAGTCAGCCTAATGCTTTCTGGAGTCAGTGTTCCTTATGCAGTGTGTGATCAAGAGTAAGTCCCAGGTGCTCCTGGAGTGGCAGTGTGAAAACGAGTGGCAAGAGTGGACAGGGCAACTCATGCTGCGTTCTCCATGGTTCCTCTGCTGCAAAGGCACCTTGAGTTTGTGCAGGGAACAGCTTCCTGACTGTTAGCAGCTGGCAGATCTCCAGTCCTTCTTCATTTAATGGAAAATGTTGTGGAGTAGGTGGAGAGGCAAGGAAAGATAGCAAGAGGGACCTGTCAAAGCAACCTAATCCTTATCCTGCAGGCCCTGGGTGGAAAAGTCTGGGTGGATTGCAATTAGCAAGTGATGGAGTGCAATTAACACCTTCCTCTGTCCTGTTTTCACTATATAAATTAGCATAGGTAATCTGTAATTCTAATACAAACCAAACAACCTTGGAGACCCCAGGAATTGAAAGAAACTGGATTTTTAGTGATGAAAAGGCTAGGAAGAGCCCTAAGCAGAATCATTACAGTGCCACTAGCAGTTAATAGAATCCAAGATTCTTTTTTTCTCCCCTATAAGCCTGCATGTATTTTGTTCAGCTATCTGGACTGGGGTTCTGAGCTTGCAGTGATGAGAAATAATGGGTCTGGGTAATTGAGACTTTGATCACCTAAAGCCTAAACTACATTTAATATTTCCCTTGCTACTCCAAAAAGAAAAATCCCAAGCCTAAATGTCTTTTCCTTGTTGTGTGTGTGGAAGCAGCCAATAGCAAGTTGCCATGTAAGTTAGGACAGAGGTTGCAGGCAGAAACTGGGCTGACTTTTACTGAACAGTTAAGTTTAGCAGTAACTTTTTTCTTGCAGGAAACTGGCTGTACAGGTGTTGGATTAAAGGGTGTGTAGGGCCTGGCAATAATTTCCCATGAAAGCAGAGAAATGGGTCACTTTCGGAGTTTTGAATTGCGAGAACATTCTGGGTTATGCAGGGCCAATTTGTGTTACGGCTTTGCATTCTTCGCAAAGAGTATTAGCACAAACACTCACATAAATTGATGTTCTGTGCTTGCGGTCGGTGTGCCCTAGCAGAGGTGCTCACAGGGGACACCGCTGCTCTATGGCCCATTTGAATCCTACGTGGGGAACCTGGATTGCCTGTCCGTGATGCACGTGCCGATCTGACTAGTAAGTTACTCAAGTTTAATGTTCAGCTGTTACTGCTGTGCAGAATGTTTACAAGCTTCTTTGGATGCGGTCACTTGGTTCCTTGATGTTTCCTACTTCTTTATATATCAGAAATAGCCCAATGAAACTTGGGGGTTTTTCCTTAGTGCTGTTCATTAGTTATCACTATGCACTCCTGTTCTATTAACGGCAAGTGTTTCGACTGGCTCCTTGTTTCCAGAAGAAGCTGTTTCAGGGCTGGTGTACGCTACTACGTAAGAGGTAAAGTAGCAAATTGATTTATTTGACAAATAATGGCAATTCCAGATATGTGTGACTTATCTTTTAGGAGTAATTGCTGTATAGCGACTTGAACAAAAAAAGTGCTTAACAGTGTGTCTCGAGGGCTTTGCTCCAAAGAAAATACGAGGAACCTGTATGGAGAACCAAAGCGTGTTCTGGTATTTGTTAAAATTGACTCCTCTTGATTCCTCCTACACATAACTGCAGAAGTTTTGTAGGGCTTTATAACACTTCACCTTTTTCACTGGAGTTAAATGCAAGTGTAGTAGCCCTTCTGGCCTCAGCAGAAAAATCAATTAAGAGCATCATGAGTGCTGGCAGGGGAGCCCTGAATAGTGCTGTTCTCTAATTGCTTCAAGTTAAAAAGTGAGCCGAGAAATGGGTTTAAATTACTTTCTCTGTTCTTGGTCCCAACATCACAGCTTTTGAAGGAATTGGTCAGTTTCTGCAGTACCATTCCAGTTGAACTGGGAATACTTCAGTGTCAGAGCACTCATGTTTGATTTTTGTATTGTTACTCTGTTTCTAGGACTATAAATATCAAAATGTTGTTCAGCACAACTGTGCTTCGAGCTAAACTTCATACAGATCGTGTTAAACTTTTGCCTAAGGTGTGTTTAATTTGCCATCTTCAGGCAGCTCTGTGGTATCTTGTTTTCTGTGGGCCCTCAAAAGGGGAGGGTAGGAAGCCTTTTGCTGATAACACCATGGTGGTTCTGCAGCCAGTCTGAGCTGGTTAACAAGGTCTCTTTCCTACACAGGTATTGATTCAGAAGGACATGCTGCTAACTTTGTTGAAACAGAACAAATTGTGCATTACAAGGGGAGCAAAGCATCGTTTGTTCAGGTAAAGTCAGTGTAAGGAACTGCTGGCTTAAGATGCAGATAGAGAACTGTTTACAGGTTATATACGAGGTGTTCACAGACAAACATGCACACAGACAAACCCAGTCTGCTTGATTTCTAAATGACAAATGAGTTTGCAAGTTTTGTTGCTTAAAACTGTTTCCATTCTGTTGCAGACCCGTGGATCAATTCCTTTTTTCTGGTCTCAAAGACCAAACCTCAAGTATAAACCAAAGCCACAGATCAGCAAGTCAGTGAATCATGTATGTGAGTGTTCATTGCCTCTTGGGGTTTTAATGCATTTCTCTGGGTGTGAAATAGGGTGACAGACGCAGAAGAATAAATCTCAGCAGTACTGGATTGAGCTTTTATTTTTAAAAAAGTAGTAGCGAGGAGCCTTGTGCTCCTTTTAGATGAGGTCAGAGCCTGGGAAATGAAATGCAGACATCAGTGGGGGGATAGTTTTCTGTCTGGCTCTTGTTTGCAGCAGTTTCAGTAGCTACAGAATACTGGTTATCTGTGGCATGTTTAGGGAGAGCTGAATGGACTGGGGGGGATGAAAGTAGGGGTGTATTAGCACAATAGAGAACATTAAACACTCTTCTTGGTTATAAAACTACCTCTGTGGTATCATCAAGAAGTGATTATAGCTTCTTGTAAATCACAGGTCTTAATAGCAGCGTACGCCTGTCAACACACTTCCTTTCTTTTCTAGATGGATGGCTTCCAAAGACACTTTGACTCGCAAATAATTAGTTATGGAAAGCAAATGATTGTCAACTTGGTATGCTTTTACTTTTCTCTTCCTGAAAAGGCTCTTGTTCTTTTCAAGCAGGATTTTGAGTAATACTATCTTTTTTTTTTTTCCTCTTTCTCCCAGGTTAACCAAAAAGGTTCAGAGAAGCCTCTTGAGCAAACCTTTGCGAAAATGGTAAACAGCATGGCAAACGGAATGGTCAGGTACATGTGAAATGATACATTCTGGTTTTTAGGAGTTGAGCATTGCCTCTGAGCACCAGTGTGATCAGTTCTTTGGGGGCCCTTACCAACTCTGATTTGTTTGAGTTTTATTTTTGTGAAGTAACTTGCATGTCACCAATGCCCCTACCTCAGTGCTCACTTTCTAAGCAGAAGTGAGACTTGGACCGAATATGGGACAGAGAGGAGACAGGCACAATAAAGAAAGGAGCTCAGAGGCAAGGGTAATGCCAGTATTAAAGTAATAGTATGCTATGGGAACTGCGGAGAGCTGCTGCATTCCAGGAAAAAGGAATCATGCCCTGCAGAACCAGCCTCTGGCAAAAGGGCTTGGTTACATTGACATAGCATGGCAGTGCTGCGTGGGAGCAAAACAGTACTGAGGTAGAGGAGGAAACAGCAAGGGAACATGTCATTTAAATGTCTGGACCTCAGTGTAACAATGAGCCAAGAAAGTGGAGAATGCACTTCAATCACAAGAGAAATTCCATCTCTGTGGGAATCTTGACTGCAGTACACAACTTTTACAGCCTGCCTGAGCTTGCTTTCGCTAGCTTCTAGAGCGAGGGCTGGCATCCAACTCCCACAGAGACTTACCTCTGCCTTTTTCTTGAAGTTACTACTTAGTTTACTGTCACTCATGTATGTCAAAGGGCAAAATCCTACTGTAAGAGAAAAGGCATCGTGTTTTAATAAAGTATCACTTCTGTCTAAGCACAACTAAGCAATTGCAAAGTATAATCAATGCCCATATAAATCCTGACGTACTTTGGATTTTTTCCAAGCTCTTTTTCTGCGTGTGTGATGCCCTGCTGCTGCCTTCACCAGGATAGTTATAGATGTCTGTGTGCTTCTTTTACTACCCTCAGGGGCGTGTGGGTGTGGATTTTTTTGTCTTGTATTAAAGACCACTTCTGAGGTGAGCTCTGTCCTCACTTCGCACCCAGGCTGGTGCTGATACCTTAGCTCTACAAAGCTTGTGGAATACTCTACATTTTTGCTGTAAAGTCACCTCGTGGAAACGAGAATGTAAAATTCTGTCAGGGTGTGTTCTGTCTATGTTAAAAGGCAGTGTTTGCCAGCCCTGTTCGCATCATTCTGTCAAAATCCTTTTTCTTTGTTCATCAGTTTAGGTGGTGTTTACCTGCCAGGCTAAGACTTGAGTCTTCAGCATATATGTAACATCTTTCTTTATGCAAATAGTCTGGAAAACTTGGCAAATAATAACTTTTGGATTATGAATACTCAAGGGGAGGAATATAAGAATGTGGTGGTGTTTGATCCAGCATAGGTCTCATGTTTGCTGTGAATTACAGGGCATTAATCTAGACCACTGCTTGTCAGAAATGAATTGGCTGTTAAAATTTTGTTCCAAGTCAATAGCTGTTTAATTTTCTTATGACAGAGTAGGTTAACTGTTTAAACAGAACCTGTCTTGGGTTTTTAGAGAGCTATTGGGGGAATTATGCTGCATGCCAGCAATGAAGGTTGCATTTCAACACCTCTGTCTAGTTCAAAGTGAACTGAAGGTCCACATGCAGTTGCTTGGAAGAGAGAAGGGCAAAAGAATCCTAGTAGGAAAAAGAGGTGAAATCAGATGTGTAGCCCTTCTCTATTTCCTGGAGGAAAAATGTTAGCCAGAATGTAGAAAGAGTAACTTGGAACCGAATGTGTGTCTTCCTGGACTAGTGGCACCTTATAAAGAAATGTGAGTGCTGTCACCATGCACACTGAGGGTGCAGCCTCAGAAAGGTCACAGAGCACTGACAAAATCCACAGGTACTTGCTGAAAGCCATCTCAAAATTAAGACAAATCCTCTGTCACTACCTGTTTTTATACATCCTCCCATTCCTGGGGGGGTTTCGGAGACCTTCATTGCTGTATGTACATAATCTGAAAAGATGCTTCTCTCTGCAGATATGTAGCATTTGACTTTCATAAAGAGTGCAGTCGGATGAGGTGGGATCGACTTCAGATACTGATGGATCAACTAGCAGAACAGCAAGATGAGTTTAGGTAAGGCTCTGTGGTTCTGTAACATCTGTACTGGTAAAATGAGACCGCTTTTCTCATGGTTTCTGTTGCCTTGAGCTGAGGCACGGCAAACATGCCTCATCTTCTGTAAAGAAGATGCATTAGTGTTTCTGTATCTCTGGTCTCTTGCTGGTAGCAGACCAGAGGGTCTTGCGAGGTTGGAGACCTGGTGGTGGGTAAGATTAAGTGTCCTGATAAAATGGTTCTGAGAATTGCAACCCTGTGTTGTGTGTGACTCGAGCTGCCTTTACCTTCGGGTAAAAGGCTAGGGAAACAAATGAGCATGCATACAACTCAAGCTATTTTAAAAGAAGCCTCCTTACGGTGATGTGTACTTCACCCAGTAGTCATCTGTGTGATGCTGGCAGCAAGCTGTTCTCCCACATAGTGTCAAGTACTTGGTGCTCCTTCCACAGGCATCTGCTCTCCTAACATGTTGCAGCACCAAACCTCAGCACTGATTGTTAACATAAGTAACCCACAAGGAAACGAATGCTCGTTTTTTTTAGTCACATAAAAGTAGGCTAAATGTCCAAATCGCCTTCAATCTCTGTTTAATCCCACAAGTGTGTCGTTTTAAGCGCTGCTTGGTCTTTGCTACTTGTAGACATGTAGATTGTTAGGGAAACAGTTTCCTTTGTTCTGCTTTTCCGATTGCTTCCTTCCCCTTCCTAAAGTCTTGTGCCTAAAGCACTAAGATCAGCAAAAAACATGCAATTCGGTATTTAAAATGAGCTGTTTGTTATCAGTTGCTAGAAACACCTGGTTTAGTTGACCAAAAAGATTGAGGTAACAGTATATGCAGTTGCTAGAGGGAACATCTGGTTCCCCCAGATGTTCACATAACAGAAGAGTAAGTGACAGCAGTTTTTCAGCAGTGGCCTTAAAGATTTGAGCACCTTCCTGGAAGAAGTGAGACTTTTTGTGCAGCAGTGACTGGATTGAACTGGGTGACCAGATGTATACAAATCTCGTTACTTCTGCTGTTACACTTTGCTAATGATCTTGATACCTGTGGAGCTAGGACTCTAAGAACTGAAAAAACCAAAATGTAAGCTGCTGATTCTGCACCAGAAGCTGCTCTTCCCAGTGGCACGTAACTCAATGTTGCTGGCTGTCTAAATGAGGAGTGAATATTGCCCTGACATTACTCAGTGTTCCTGTATTGATGCTGTTCTTCAGTGTGAGAGGGGGAAAATTCGGGAGGGCACCAAAGTTCAAATACACACCTAAGAACACTTAGTATGCTCAAGACAACTGCCTCTTGGTTGCCAGAATAGCTGCCTCTGAAATCGTGTGGTTTTACATGGATTGTGATGTATAAATACTTAAGTGGACTGTATGTGTTAGCTATTTTCTAGTTGACTCCGATGGCAAAATTGTGACTCTAGGAAGGAATATTCCGCAGTAACTGCATGGACTGCCTTGATCGGACCAACGTGATTCAGAGCTTGTTAGCACGCCGATCTCTTCAAGCCCAGCTTCAGGTAAATATTTTGTTCGGGTTTAATAAGTTGGAAGAGGAGAGAGGCTTTGCTTGACACAGAAACACTACAGGAAGAGCTTGCATACTTGAGTTGAAATGCACTGGGCAGACTCCCGTTTAAGTATAGCTGAAATCAAATCCTAGTTTTTCTAGCAAACTACTACTAATAAGGCTCAATATGCTCTTTTGTTTTAGAGGCTAGGTGTCCTGCATGTTGGACAGAGAATTGAAGAGCAAGCAGACTTTGAAAAAATCTACAAAAATGGTAGGCTGTTTATAGGTTCAAACAGTCACTTTTTTCCAAATGGCAGTACGTGACTTCCTAAATCTTAATGTTTTCCTATTCACAGCATGGGCTGATAATGCCAATGCTTGTGCCAAACAATATGCTGGAACTGGTGCCTTAAAGACAGATTACACAAGGTAAGTCAGCCTTTTTTGTAAAAGCCTTCTGGGTTTTGGGCTATGTTTGGGATTTTCCTGAAGTCTTTTGTATATAAGAAGGCTATTAATTTGGATTTAATGAGTTTTGCAGTGGTTCAGCTGGTAAAATGTCAGACTAAAACCTACGGAACACTGTTCTTCACTCTGTTTCTATGAAAGGAGAAAAGGCTATCTGGGGGAAAAAAAACCAACACAAGAAAATGTGCTGCTTTGAGGCACATTTATATTGTGGGATGGAGAGCAGTGCCATTTCACTTTCAAACTTTTACCTGTGGTAATAATGCAGAGGCAGGACTAGATAAATGTATTTACATGCAGGTATTAAACATGCACACATTTGAACAATGAAAGAGCTGTAAATCTGAAAATCATTTTCCTGCATTTATAAACCTATTTTAAATATTTTTGCAGAACTGGGAAGAGAACTCAGTGGGGCTTAATAATGGATGGCTGGAACTCATTAATACGCTACTACAAAAACAACTTTTCTGATGGATTTAGACAAGTGAGTTTGGTTTTTAACAGTGGGGAAGCGTGTGAAGTAGACACTGCTGTGTGTTCCAACTCGTGCTCTCCCTTGCTCTCCCAGGATGCGATTGATCTTTTCCTTGGAAATTACTCAGTGGATGAAGTAGAACCTGCTAGTCCTCTACATGTCAAGAAAGATTGGAAGTTCTTAGCTGTGAGTATGGAGACCTTATACACGACTGGAGAAACACACACAGCCTTTTAGTCACTTGCTTCGTAGGACTAAGTAGAACATGTCTGTTTAGTAACGGAGCAACCCTATAATCTGGTTATGTTTCTGTGATACCTGCTTGTAGGACTAAACCCAGACTGTTCCCTTGACAGAAAATGGAGTGTCCTTGAGGTATTGAAAAAACTGCTGCTTGCTTTTTTTTTAATCTGCTTCATCAAGTGGGAAGGGAGAGATTCTACTAGTCGCCATCAACGACTTTCCTTCTGCAGAAGAAGCTTACGAAGATCTTGTACTTCATGCAGATGCATACTGTAACACAAAAAAACCCTTTTTTTTGTCCCCTGTTATTTTTTTGTCCCCTTCTGTTTTTTGAAATGGGGGGGACGTTACAGGTTTAACTGGTGTCTTGCTTTTGGGTTTTTTTTTAACAATACATAAACCTCAACCTCTCTTTTAATAGAAGGTATATGTTAATTTTTAACCTAGTTATCCAACACTCTTCCAAATTTTGGAGCTATCTACAGTTTTATTTGTACCTGACAGCAGGTGAATTAGGAATTTAAAGCAATTTCATTGCAAAGCAAGTAAATATTTTACAGGATGACCTGTCTTAAAGAAAATGAAGGAATATGTGCTACTATATCAAGCGATTGTTCTTTTTCTCTTTCCCCAGTTGCCTATTATTATGGTGGTTGCTTTCTCCATGTGCATTATTTGTTTGCTAATGGCTGGTAAGTCACTGTTGAATTCAGTTTCACAAAATTAGCTTACTTGTATGTGAACTCTTTGTAAATGCTTACCAGAAATTATTCAGTGCGGAATTGCTTCTCAGTCATACTCAAAGATGTTTGAGCATAGCTCTGGAGATTGAGGGTTAGCATGGTATCATTAATTTGGAAAAACCTGAGGTACTACAGAAAATGTTAAAACCTTTGTAGAAGTTGCTTAAGGGGCAGTTAATTGCCCCCAAATGTAGTTGCACCTACCTGATTTGGGGCAGAAAGTTCAAAGAAATCAATATTAGGTGTAAGACGGTTCTGATGGATGTCCCCCTCACCCAAATCTGTGTCGAGTTGTGAAGGTTTCTGCACTCTGCTTTCGCCTTGCGTTTTCTAACACTAGTGCCAGTGGAGTTCTCAACTCAGACTTCAGCGGCTGTCTGATCAAAGTGCTCTAAGAACTGTGTGGCAAACACAGTTTTCCTAGGTAAGGAAATAGAAAAAAAGACCCCAGTACCCATGGAGGACTTGTAACTTAAGTTGACAGTGGATCTCTGAGGGAAGGTTTGAAATATTTTGCTTTTCTGCCTAAAAGAAAAAACCACCCCTCTGGTAATTTGAGGTAATGAACTAACATGTTTATCTGACTCTTAACAGGTGATACATGGACTGAGACACTGGCCTATGTGCTTTTCTGGGGAAGTGCAAGCTTTGGAACATTTGCCATCATCCTTTACAATGGCAAGGATTTTGTAGATGCACCCAAGCTGGTCCAGAAAGAGAAGATGGACTGAATTTGTGTGTGTGGAAAGCGGCTTGGTACCGAGGATTCCTCAAGCCACACCTGGAGTCTCTACTGACCTGCTTTCCACACCGGACAGTGGTCTTGTTAACTTTCTTCCTTAGCGGCGTGGGGGGTGGAGGGGGAAGCAAGCCGTGCGGCTTTGGCGGTGGTAGCTTTCAACTGAGACCTGGCTCGACAGTCTGCGTTGCAATGGTCTTTGGAATATTGCATTAGTGGAGGGGGCTCCGCCCCGGTGAGGTAATGCAAAGATGAAAGCCAGCCTTTTGCTGTCTGGAATGTTTTAGAGCGTGGACAGTTTAAGCTCGTGGTCCACCTGGGCTGTTTCAGCTGAGTGTTTGGTTGACAGGAGGGAGCTTCATGTGTCAAAATAGCCAGATGTTGAGGCATTAATAATGGAGCTGCTAACTGTGGTCTCTGAAGAGATAATGGCTCTGTACCAATAAAAAGTCTGGTTCCAAGACATACAGCTGGATTACATTTGTTGTGATAAAGTCCATGTGAGGAGTCCTTTGTGAATATTTGTGTGTGGATTCTTTTTGCTAATTATAAAAGCCTTTTTTTTTGAATCCTAATGCTCTTCTAAAATGAGCTTTTTGTCCTGTCTTGTTTATCTAGGACTGATGCAATATTCTACTAATCATTGTTTGGGTGAAAGGACAGTGTAATTGGATGTTCCTGAGATTGCACATGTCTTGCTGTTTCAGTACTACGGTCTCCAGATGATGATTTGTTAGTTAGCGAGTTAAAGTACAGAATTTTTTTTCTAAAGGTGTAAATTAAATCAAAGAATGTAAAAACCCTTCGCAGTGTTTATTGAACCTTCCTTATGCTAAAGGTCCAAAGTACCCCATTACTTTAAGAACGGGTCACAGCGTAAAAGGTGAACTTCATTGTTCTGCTAGTCAGCTGCTTCTGTTCTTGGTTATGTTGAAATTAGTTTATGAAAGGAGGAGTAACAACTGAGGAGAAAGGGTTGAGCCTAAACTCCCTGTTTGCCCCTGGGAGCAGCAGCTTGCTTTTTCATGCATGATACTGTAAGACACTCTTTACAAAACAAAAAAGCTACGGAATAATTTGTGCTGGCTAATAATAAATGTCTGTCATTAAATTTTAGTGCTTCCAAGCTGTATAAAAGTAAGTAATCCTAATCCAGGACCAATTTTAAACTATTTTGTCACATATTTTATATGGTTTGTTGAAAACCAGACATGGAACTTGCTTAAGGCGCTGTGCATTGTTTAATATTTCCTGTAAGTACAGCTGTATATTCAGACTGCGATTATAAAATTTAAATGGGGGGGAAGGGGGAAACATGTAGAATACTAGGACTAGCACAGTTGTCACTGTTGAAGCTGGAACACAAAACCCTGATACTGCAGTGTTTCCTCGTGTTACAACTGAAAATATGTACAGATTTTTTTCAACTGTTAACTGTTGATTTTAACCTTGAATGTTTCTGGAGGTCTCTGGGGTTTGTGTAAACATAACCTGTTGGTAAGCACTCGTACTTGCAATGTATCTATTAGCTCCTGAATGCTGTAATGGAAATACCACCTGATGGTTAACTGGAAAATCCTCCAACTTAAAATTTTCTGAAGGGAATGCCGTTATGGGCACAAAGTGCAGAAAGGTCATAGACTTGGCAGTATCTGGAAGTGTTTGTTTTGATGGCTCGCTGGCAGGTGGAGTTTGAAACTGGGTTCGCTTGTCTTGCAGTCTAGGACTGTCTCTTTGCATCTTCTGAAGAACCTGTTGCAGCAAAGACCAAACTTGAATTGCTGATAGAAAAGGTTTGTAAGACGTAGAATAACGTAGGTTTTAGCAGTTGGAAGGCACCTGTATTGAAGTGCTTTGCAAAGAGTCTGTATTTCTAAAATCACAAATGGTGTACTCATAAATGACAATAAAATGTTTGACTTTTCTAGAACACAGTGTGTGGTGCATTTTTGCCTCCTGGAGCGGACTCTTCCCAAACTGATC